ATCAGTGATCTTCAGCAATTATAAGGGGAGGGCGAAGGCCATGTGTCTCCCTCCCCAGAATCCCGCAACCGGGAGGTATGTTACAATGAAAGCGAACCGTAGCCCAAATTCTTCTCAACACAGCACTTATTAGCCAGAAAGTACACATGTGCTTCCTGTAATCCCATGGAACTGTCCCTTTCTTTTCTCAGAACCCATGATAATGAAATGAAAGTTGGAAAGAAATGTGAGTGAAAGTTTCAATTTTAGGTAGACACCACAATATTCCAATCACCAAATAAGACACCATAGTGTTAGGGCTGTGAAGCAGGCACAGGACAAGTGGGGCCCTAGGCCTTAAGCGCTGCTGAGTTTAACAGGTTCTTAACACTTTCTTCCCTCAAAGATGACGGAGGCCAGTCTTTCTGGCTTATCTTGACTGCTGCTTATTTTATGATTGAAAATCATTCCTAACACCTTTTATGCAATTTAATGAACTGTCTGGTGTACATTTTGATAAGGATAATTGGAATGACTAAACAACCATCTTTGGAAGGTGGATTCCTGATTAGGATACTTCAAACACTAACTACATGACTGCTAGGATATATGATAAACTTCACTTATATACTTCACACTACTAATGAAAAATTTCTAAAGTAAATTGCTACCCAAAAACTATAGCTGTTGATTTTTGAAAATGTAATAATCTAGTATAGGTCCATGCTTTATCTAGCTATTATAAATGTCATAATTTTGTTTTCATATTTATAATACTGTTCTCTCTAAATTTAATCTCACTAAATACTTCTATATAGATGAGTAGAAAAATCAGAGAAACTTCATTTAGTTACTAAATTATCAAAGGATGAGACTCAAGCTAACACCTGGTTCCCTGACTCAATTCTCCACAGGCCAGGGGTCTAAACCCACATGTTAAGGGATTTGAAAACTGGGATGCCATGTGTCCATTTGTAGCATGTCCAAACAGAGTGTGGAGTAACACTCTGGAAGCTAACAGTAACAATTGTTGAGACACTGTAAGCAGAAAGTTCAAGGGACTGGCCACTTTCATCTGTACATGGTAGTGATGTGGAAATCATGAGTGTACTCCTTTCAGGGCAACTTAATTGAATTTAAACATATTTCTTGTGATATTAGTAATAGAAAGTGGTCTGAGGAAATGAACAAATGCGTTAATCCAATGGAAAGGAAGCCAGGCCTGTGTCATCCTCCTCTGATCACTGGAAAGTAATCGGATAAACCAGTTTCCCCAGCTGTCTATGCAGTCTTCTTCCAGACGTTACTGACTTTAAACAAGTAACTCCTAGAGAAACTTACATTTAATCTCTTAGCTGAAGAAAAGTAACTTTTATGATGGGTTTAAAAACCATTTAATCACTTATGTTAAATGAATTTACAAATAATGCTACCTACCTAAGCTAAAGTTTTAAAAATAACATCTTGATTTCAAAAGTAAATACATTTTTTAAATGATTTGTAATAAAATAATACATATTTCAATAGATAAATGCCCTGGCTTCATTATTCTAACACTATCAGAATCACTATGTATGTATCAGACTCCAGGATTGTATTGTTGACTCAAATACTGTCACAATTGAGTTCCCTGGGGAAAGGATGCTGAAATGGAGACGGATGGGCAAGTAGTTTTTTAGCAAATACTATGCAGGAGAGAGGGAAGGCAGGATTGCAGAAAATTTTACTGAGATGTAGTCACAAAAAGGCCTCAGCCAATCCAACGGGGAGCTCTGGAGCTGGGGCAACCCTTCATACCCCTGCACCAACGAACTAGGGAATAGATACAGGACGCCCCCGGACAGGGGAGGAAACTTGGGTGAGGCAAAGCAACTCTCATCAGTCGATGGCAATTCCCAGAGACTCAGCTGAGAGCTCAGACACCAATGCTGCCAGCAGCTGATGGAAGGGGTATTTCAGTCCCAAAGGGGACAGACCTGAGCAGTACCCCACATCATCCACTACAGTCCACCCCTGTGCTACTCAGACCACTTGCTTTTTGTGGCAAGTTCTGGGAAAGGCTCCTCTGGGAGCCTGGTGCATTTCTTTTCCCGAGGAAAATTACAGGGAAAAGGCTAATTGGACAATTTACAGCCCCATTGCTGCAGCTGGTCTCAAGGCGACACTAATACTTATCATATGTCTTCTCTAGATTCCTGAACACTACTCCTCAAAACTATCTAGGCCATCAAAAGCAAAGGAAGTCTGAGAAACTGTCAGAGCCAAGAGGAGCCTAAGGGAACATGAGGACTAAAGGCAATAAGGTGCCCTGGATGGGCTCCTGGAACAGAGAAAGACAGCAGGTAAAACTAAGATATCTGAATAAACAATGAACTTTAGTTAATAATTAAGTGTTTCAATATTGGTTCATTCAGCGGGCCAAATGTACCAAACTAAGGTAAGACGGTAATAATAGGGGAGACTTGGTGCGAGGCATATAGGAACTCTCTCCGCCATCTTTGCAACTTTCTGTAAATTTGAAACTATTCTAAAATTAGAAGCTTATTTTTAAAAATAACAGGCAAAACATTGGATTGCTGCTAGACTTTGGCCTTATGGCTTAGTTGGTCTGACAAAAACCCAGCTCATGATGAGCAGTTTCTCAAATGATGTGTAATTCCCCCCCGCCAATGTCATGGCCTTGCTCCAGGACCCTAGGTGGTCCGTGTTGTCATTCTCCCACTGAATTTCCCATATATTCCACATGGCATCTTTTCTTATCTCTAAGACTTTTGATACTAAGGGTCTGCAAGGTCCTATGATCCAAGCGCCAGGCCACTTGGCCATAGCCTGGACTGGCTTTGGAGCCCTTTTCTGCCCTGGATGCCACTCAGAGCTGGCAGTTTTTCATGTCACCCAGTTACATGGAATGCAGCAGTATTTCCAGGTGAGGACGCCAAGAGGCCTCCCAAACATTCTGCTGGCTCCTTAGAGGTGGGAGGTGTAAGATGAAATAACTCGACCCTTCCTTTGGAGGGGATATTCCAGAATATCTGTATATTCCAGACCACTGGACCCCTGAAAACTTCACTGCAGTGACAAGTCCTTGAGACTTTGTAGGATTTATCTCCCATCCTTTGAAGTGCACCTTTGCCAAGACCTCCAATGCATTTGCCACTTTGTACTCTTCAGATCTAATGTCAGTGACACAGATAACCAATGTGATATTCTGCAGAGTGTCCATATAGTCCAGGTCCCTTTGGACAATATTATAACAAAGGGTGGGAGAGTTTAGATAGCTCTGGAGCAATTCCATAAATGTATACTGTTGTCCATCTCAAGTGAATGCAAGCACTTTCTGATCTGCCTTTCTGGTGGATGTAGAAAGAAGATATCAATGGCCACACACCAAATAGCTGAATCTGTGTTAATTTATTCTTGCAAAGATTCCACATCTAGCTCAGCAAGTAGGGCTAACACTTGGTTGAGTTTTCAACAATCCACTTTCACTCTCAAGAATCTATCTAGTTTTCATAGAGGCCAGAGTGGTGAATTAAATGGAATTACAATGAGGACCAATACTCCTGCATCCTTTAGGTCTTAAGGCTAGCACTAATCTTTGCCATCTCTCTGGGATGCAATATTGATTTTGGTTTACTGTCTTAACCAAGGAGTAGAGCCATTTCAGAGGCTTCCACTTAGCTTTCCCATTACGACAGTTTTTAACCCAAAGGCCAAGAAACTAACGGTGGTCCTGCCAAGTCCCAAATACGTTCAACCCAATCATTATTGTGAAAGTGGGGAGATGACCATTGGGTAGATCCATGGGCTCAATGGATCTACTGAGATAGACCCGGGATAGGACTCCATTTATTATCTGAATCCCGTATGCCCCCATTCTAAAAGGCACTCTGTAATGATACTCTCGTCCCTGAGTATCAGTGTCAACTTGGATCTGGTGTCCCATGTCCTCAGAGTGTTTGTGTGTACTCCTTTCCCCAGTGTATAGTTGTCCAAGTAAATAACCATAGGTCCTTTTGTGGAAGGGCTAGAGGAATCATTGCCATATGCACTTGCAGTGGTGGTGCAAAGTCCTCCTTCTTGGGGATCCAGCCTTTCCTTCAGTTTCCGGGTCTGGAAAATAGCCAAGGTCTGGAAACTCGGCAAGAGGTCCTAACTTTTTATTAGGCTGACTGTGCCCTACCCATCTCCTGATCATCATCCTTGAGATCTTCTGAGGGGATAGCCTGAGCAATACTCTTATTGGCTACTCATCTGTTTTGCCCCCAGGGATGCCATATTCTGTTAACCACCTCCAAATCTCTCTGTAGGTAGCCCCCAGACCGGGCCACTCATTATGATAATTGTGCCCACTTTGCTTCTGACAGTGAAGCACTGCCACTGAGCCCCTATTTTTCTGTCTCCGTTGCCATCAGTGAACCCACTTCTGGAAGAGCATCTGGCCTGAACAGCTACACTGAGGTTCTCAGTGATTCTGTGCCCCTCACCAAGGCACCCCTTATCACTGCAGTGAATGCGGCCCCTGGGGGAACGTAAGAAAACACGACCACCTTATTGCTCTTTGTCATAATATGCATGAAATAGGAAATCAGGTGTGTGATCTGCAAACTACAGGGTTTTTTCCCCTGGTGCATATTAAAATAAATAACTATTGATATAAAAACATCCATCGACCACCTGAAATCGCCATGCACACAGAGATGAAGCTTTGAGAACACCACAGCAGTCAACAGGGAGGCACTTAGGAAGTCGGAAGCCCCTCCAGCCTCCTGCACATCTGTGGATGTCCATCCTGCTGAGCATCTTGTGACTTCTGAAGTGGTCACTTCGGTCACCCTCGAGCCTCTCTCATGTGCTGCAGTGTCCACTGGACTAGAGCACAGATCTGCCCCTTGACTGGCTCTAGAGTGAAGGGAGGTCCTTAACCCATCTGCCTCCCAGCTTCTTCACCCTGTAATGTAAAGGGATTATGAAAAGAATATCTGCTCTTTCTTATTTCTCAGAAACATAACACATCTAAGTGAAAAGTAAATACAGAAAGCTTTTAATTCTTTAGAAGAAAATTTCCTGGATAATTCCATGTGTTTTTATAATCATAGATAATCTTATACTCACTCATTCATTACCAAAAATAAAGACTATGGTTACAATTTATTCTCCATAGTGCACACAATCTTATCTATTTTGACATCAAAAAGGCAGAAAGACAAAACACATTCCAAGGACAGAGATGAAAACAATATAATTTGCAAAGACATTGCTGTTTATTTTATTGTTTGTTTTTGTTGTGTCACTGTTTGTAAGCTGCAAGAGCCTACAGAAGAATCGGAATATATCTGCAGGCTAAGTTTAAACAACACGAAAGGGCTTAAGCTCAAATATAAAAAATAAAACTTTTAGCTTACTTATTAACCTAGAAAGAATCTTCCTGAAATATGTCAGTTAAATTGGTCTACAACGCGTTAACAAATGGAGAGCATGGACCTCCTCTAACAACTACTTGAAACATTGTGTCCACTGCGAAAGGAGCTGGTCTAGAGATGGAAATTTTCAAGTCCCCTGGACAGACTAAATACCAGCTACTTTTTAACCTGAAGTCAGAACAACAAAATATGTAAAAGTAAAAATATTGCCATTGTTGTCAGCAATGTACTGATAAATCCTACAAGTTCTGAAAGTCTTCTCAAAAAAAAATGAACCATGATTTCTTGGCCAGCTCCTTGCTTAAGCAGTAAGTAACTTTTGAAGCTGGATTTCTCTATCCGTGGATAGAAGCAAGCTGTATTGACAGCATTGCTCCCTTTTGAAACTCATCTTCAGAAGGAAAGAGAGTCCAGCAACGACCTTCAACGTAACACTGCCTGCAGAGCTGCCAGTCTGCAGGAGTGGTCCCGGGGCAGGGGCAACTGTCAGCCGATAACCCGAAACAGATTAAAGAGAAGAGAAGGAAGTGGGGGTCAACTGTTTCAGTTTACAGATGGCATCCCAGATAAAATATAAAATATCAAGGGCTTATGGAGGAGAAATGGACAATATCCAAAAATGAGGTAACCAGATAGCAGTAATATTGGGAATTGAAGATGCTTGTACTACAAGTGAAGACAGAACTTCTTACACGTAACTGCAGGAAGTTGCTTGGGATCACTCTACTTCGAACTCACTTCTGAGCAGGACTCCTACACATTTCTACCGTCTGGTCTACTAGACGTCTGAATAATCATGACTGACACTCAAAATGATGCCTCTGACACCCTCCAGGGCTCTGTAGGTTCTTCCAGATCAAAGAAAGGTCACATAATGCCTGGTATTAATTTGGTGGTAGCCGATATTATATAACAATTACTTAAAAATTGCTAACGCATATTTGGGTTCAATGATAGCTCTCTCTATTAATCTTATTGTTCTATCAACTAGAATACCCAATTATCCCAATAGGATTAATTACTGGAGCTTATTGTACAACCAAAACCAAAACAGGGTCAATGGGTTCTCAGAATCTAATCACCCAAGATGAAACAGCCCACTGACCCAACTGTCTGATGCAACATCCTCAGATGGTTCAATGTGGCCTGAACATTTCATAAAGTCCTCCTGAAGACCAGATATCCAAACCCATAGGTTTCTGTAGGATTCAGAATCATTTTTCACCTAGCCAGCCCTAGTGAGCTAGCTAGCTCACTCTCTTCTATATGCTTTTGTCCAACTTCGGTTGGCTGTTGAGTTCCAACAGAAGAATTCCAATTCTGCCTCCCAGCCTCTCTTTCAGGGACTTGGAAATGGAAGGTAGTGCAGTCCTTTCTGGCCATCTGCCAGGCAAGGGGCCCCAGGCTTCTTGGGGTAAGTGCGACTGGCAATCTTAAAGAACTCTTCTGCAGCATCAAGAGCAATGAGACGGTCCTGACAAAAAATTAAAAATTTGTCAATTAAAAAACTGTCAAGGTAGGAACCAAGCCACATCAATGGGAAAACCAATCTAACGGTAACAAAACCCACCCTGAAATAATAATGAGCGAATAAAACATTTATTAAATTTTTCTCAACAAATTTAGAGACATTCCTAAATCCTTTACTTATATTATCCAAGGAATATTCCACTGCCCTTAGAGTCCTTTCAAATTCTTTTTCAGTCTTAGGTTATATTAACAATACTTCTCGCACCTCCTCACCTTACAAATGGTCCAAGCTGACTACACAGCACAATTGGCTGAAAAATACAGTCTCAACCCAGCCTCAGTAGGTCTGAGTGCAATCCGAAATCTGAATTTTTTTTTTTAAAGATTTTATTTTTTTCCTTTTTCTCCCCAAAGCCCCCGGTACATAGTTGTATATTCTTTGTTGTGGGTCCTTCTAGTTGTGGCATGTGGGACGCTGCCTCAGCGTGGTCTGATGAGCAGTGCCACGTCCGCGCCCAGGATTCGAACCAACGAAACACTGGGTGGCCCGCAGCGGAGCATGCGAACTTAACCACTCAGCCATGGGGCCAGCCCCCAAAATCTGAATTTTTAAAGCCCATCAGGTGATTCTGATGTTGCAGGCTACAGAAACCAGCACACAAGCTGCCAGCGTCATTGGCCACCTCATACTGTGGTGGAACTGGTGGCGTTGGCACGATAAGTATATGCAATAACACAAAAACACACATTTCAAGCAAAAGCAGAGCAGATGAAAAAATGCATCCACTTACCACAACAAAGAGATATCTCTCCGAGAGCTCCCAGCCTGTTGGGAAAATGTTGGTCTCTTCAGCCAATTTTAACAATATCTCTCGAGCTTTCCTTGTGTTTTTAGAATCACTGATGGTGCTGAGTTTCGTCACTGACAACAAAGAGTCTGCTTCCTTTTGAAAACCTAAAGTAAAAAAATTTACCACTCTTGTAAAGTAGTCACAAGGAGATGACTGTCCTGCAGGAGATTAAGAAGGAACCCGAATGTGGATTCTGAACAAACCTCAGGAAACTGCAGCCAAAGGCACCACCGCTGCTTCCTGGCTCAGTGTGAGTGGCAGGGTCTTTCTCAAAATTCGTTTGATGTTTCTTCCGGTTTAATTTTCTTTGTTAACTTTCCCTTCAGAGTTAAGCCTCACATACTCACCCACTGACAGCTCGCTGCCCTTTCTGGACTGAAACCCTCCTCCCACTCCCTACTCCTGCCCTGTCCCCAGAATTGCTACCCGCCTTTGTAGCTTGAGAACAGCCAAGTGGTCACCCCCAGGCCTCTACTTCTCCAAGCCCAGATGCCCTTCCCTGGAGCAATATGGTTGGCTGGTTAAAATTACTTACCCAGAGCTATAAAAGACTCACAGATTTACACCTGTCTGGAATAACTTACATTGTAAGAAGGAGACTGTTAAGTCAACAATATTGGGTGCGTAAATAGGGCAGAGGCCCGCCCCCGCCCACTGCATCCCAGCCAAAGCAATAGGGGCTGGCAACACGGCACCCAACTTTTGAAAATTTATGATGCCACGGTGTCATCTCTTTCCAAGCAGAAGGACTGAGGACTTCAAAATTGATAAATTCATTTTTTAAACCTTAAACAAGCTTATTTTACAGTGTGAGGGGCTTGTTTATTGTATCGCGAACCTTATTGTATCGCGAACCTGGAAGAATTCAGAAAAACCAACACCAACAGCCACTCTCACGCCACGGGTGCTTTTCCCAACTGGGAAGCTTTTCTACCTTTTAGTCCTTCTGAATCTTGCTGTCTTTCTTACACACAACATATCTCCCAGCCTACCTTATCTTATAAAGCTTCTACTAATCGGTCACTCACTTTCATCTAATTCACTCGATGTACACGCCAAAAAGTTTAAGGTAGCGCCCATATGACTCCCCTGCCCTGTCTGCTCAACACAGAGGACAGATGGAGTAGCATATGGCTGAGCACGTCCTTAGGGCCTGGGCTGGTGATAACAGAAATATCAGATGTTTATGCTCGAGGATACAAGAAGAACAGGATCAGGAAAATAATTAGCACACAGGAGCCTTAATTAGTCAATTACTGACATCCCTTTCCTAAAAACCATGGTGAAGGAAGCGACCAGGAATAACACCACAACTAGTTATTTTTACAATTCCCTCGTCAGTTGCAGACTCACCTAAATCTTCTAAAATGCGTTTCCACCTATTTCTCACTTCCCTTCGAATCTGTCGCAGGGTGTAGATATCATAGTTGAGCTTTTGCCACTCCTGTAGGAAAATAAAAATTCAGTTTTATTTTTATCTTGGGCTTAAACCTCTATGTAAGTCCCAAACTTAAGCTGTTTAAACATGTGGCTCTCCTCTTCACTAATCTTCAAACTAGATCTAAAAGAAGAGAAGGGGACGGGTGAGAGGGAGTCCCCGGGACGCGTGAGCTACCGTTTCTGCAGAATCTGTGATGTACCAGGTGCTATGACACCTCACGCAAATTGTCCTAATTAAACTCTTCACATATCTATTCTCTTAACTTCACCGATCTCACCTGCAAAGAGAGGATGACAATAGTTCATATTCCACCTAAGAGTGTTTTAAAGATTAAACAGAGAAAAAAGCACAACATCTGCTCATAGTGAGCACCTAAGAAAATCCACGTATCATTAACGCCATTTTATAGATGAAGAAACTGAGTCCCAAAGAGGGTAAGCGGCTAATCCAATATCATCCAGCTAATAGGCATCAGAAGTGGTATTTGAATCCAGGTCTGACTCCAAAATTCCCGAGAAAAACGACATGCGACGAATTCATGTCTTCCTTTGTTATCAGAAGAAAGGAGACCTGGGGGTCCCAAGCTTCTTATTTCCAGCCAATGTTTCCTTCACCTTATCTCAGCATCGCTCCCTTTCATTTATATCCCCACGATAGGAGGAATCTTTTAAGCATTCAGCAGAACTATGAAAAGGTTATCATTCTGAAAATTTCAATCTTATCAGGAATAGGCCATCATGTTGGTCCCTAAACAGAATTTGAATCTTTCAGGAGCGTTAGAATCTTTATGAAGCTAAGCATTCCTTTAAAATGTCATGGAAATTTATTTTTAAGGAGGCTTGACTATATAAAACAGTCATTTTACAGAGCATACCTTTTCCTCTTAGCAAAAACATTAACCATACAACTATCCTATGCACAGCTTAAGAACATCATTCTAAATGCTCAATTTAAGACTCAAGTTATGTGATATTTTGACTTTTCTAACTGAAAACATTTCAGTGATGCCATTACTTCACTACTCAGCTCCTTCCAAGGCTTGCTTGCTTATTGCTAACCAGCGTTCACAACTGGTTAAGAGAAATCAATTTAGCTGCCATTCACAAACTCTTACAGGTACACTTTGGAAAAGAAGAGCTAGCAAAATAAAGTATGTTTTGTTATGACTGCATTTTAGATCTTCTATCTAAAGATATGTCATCAAAAGGCCATGGATTTCAGTTATTTTCTAGAAGTCAGGAAGTGGTGAATTTGAAGATTCTTTCCTGGTTCTCTTTTTTTGACCAAAGGCATGTAGGCATATGCATGTGCATGCATGCATGGTGATGGGGTTCAGGGACAGTGTGTGACCCTGGAAGAGAGCAAAGTTAACTGAGTCATCTCAGAAATATGCAACCCTGACCTCATCTTTAGCATCATGTTAAACCACACCTATCCAATCCCCCTCAGAACATATCAGTCATGGGGAATAAAATCAAGTGTTGTGGTTTTCATTGGATGGGCATACACTGACCCTTCGGTATGTAGCATCTTGGTAGGAGCATGGGTGCTAGAGCCAGACTTCCAGGTTTGGATCCCAGCTCCCTTATTTATTAACAGCCTGAGTTTGAGCAAGTTGGTAACATCACTGTGTCTCAGTGGCCTCGTCTGCAATATGTGGAGAGTACTACAACCTACCGCACTCGCTTCCTGTAAGGACCAAATGTATTAATGCAAACCTTGAAAATGCAGTTTGCTGCACATTCTCCTCCAAATCAGTGCAGGCACAATTAAGAAACAATCTCCCAAAACTCAGGATGATTTCTATTACGGGGCTTGAGGCCATGATACATGACCCCACGCAATATCTCATTTGTGAGGACCTCTGGAGGACCAATTTCTCTGCTCTTGACATCAGGTCCGATTTCACTTTTCCTGAAAATTGTTTCACCTTTCTGGACATTATGAATTTTATAACTGCTAAGTTCCATGCTGACCTGAAAAGGTAGGGTCCTTTCATGGAAAATTCGTAGGATTTTGAAAGCATTTTTGAATTATCAAAATTTTTTACTACTTGTTATGTCTTTATCATGTTTTTCCTATTTCCTCCTCTTCTTCTGGTTTGTGCTATCTCACTGTATTTTCACGTAAATTGCCTTAAGTCCTTTGTGATAAAAAGGATATAAGTAAATGAAATATTACACAGAGCGGCGCTGGGCTTATTCTCAATGAAACTGACCCTCCTTGCAGGACACAATGAAGAGTAATCAGACTGTCAGTCACACTTGATTAGAGACCCACACATCAAGAACAGGTGAGCTGCTTCAAAGATTCACACAACCTTAAATTCTGAAACAAACCACTAGGTGGCTTCACTAACCTGCGATTAAAGGTCTCTGCTAATTTTTCTTTTAGCTCCTAAGGCTGATGCCTCAGACCTTGTTCCCTCAACTAAGTGTAGCCCAATCGCAATTTTTCAGAGACCCGTTCATCACTGGTGACCCAAGCTTTTCAATCTTTCTCTTCCTGCTGTCCATGTATCAGCTATTTCGCTATTCCTAAAGACCAAGCCTGAGCTTTAACAAATTCATTCCATTTCAGTGTCTGTTACTCTGATACAGTGCTGGATGGAGAAGCAACAGTATGAGATTTAAAAATCTGGTGAGCGTGGATCCACACATGGTGCGTGTGTGCTTCTTAAGATTAGTGGAATAAACTATTTTCATCCATCCATATTATTGCCGTCTTTTTTGACAGAATAGTCATGGATAATCAAATATCAAAGTATCTGGAAGTTTTGTACAAAGTTTAAAGCTCTAAGGCCAGCAGCAGCTTGGGTAAGATTTTAACTAAGAATTGGCTTTTGATAAAATAAATAGTAAGAAGGGAATATGAATTCCTCTTTACCATATGACCCTAAAGGATAGACTCTAAACACAGCAAATGAGAAATGGTGATGTACAAAACCTTATCCACAGTAAAGAAACTAACTCACCTAATTCCCTGGCATTAGAGAAAACAAGTCCTGTGATGGCCTTATACAATGTTACATTGTAACCATTTATTTCTAGACAAATAATTTGAAATTAGCATTTAAAGATCAGTTACATATTCTTCACCAGTGAGTGGAAACTCAAATCCTCTAGACATCCAACGTTAGTCTTATCTTCCAAAATAATCTTTTGCTTCTTTTCTCATAATTTCTGAAATAATCATTGTGATGCTGTGGCTGGAAACATTAACAATGAGTAAATTTGCAACGGTGTAATAAAAGCAATAATGCAGAATTAATGTCATAAGATACCCGGGAACCAAGTCAAACTGAAAAACACGTGATTGAAAATGAATAACTGAAGATGCTTAGAGCTGAATTCTTGAGGTTTTTCTCCTCTCTAGCTGTCAGCCAAATCAGATTAGGGCGCCAGAAAAGAAGGTAGAGGCAACAGCACAAAAGGCAGAACAAGGCTCAATCTCCTGCAGCCGTCAGGAGCTCGTTCTCCTCCAGCTTTCGATCCCATGAGCTGAGCTTGACCTTGAGTTCTGATTTAAGCAGCTGGGATCATTTTCTCACACATGAAATTAAAACATTTTATTCTTATTCCACTATATTATTGTGAGGTTGTGGATAAATGGGACAGTTAAAAAGTACTTTTCATTTCTTCTTAGAAAGGTGATTTATAGATTTAAAGAAATGTACTCTAACAGATTACAGATATTTTAAATCATCTTAAACTGTTAGGAACAACTTCAAAAGAGAACAATTTCTTTTTAGTTATAAAAATATTATCACACAGAAGTAAAAACTCAAAGAGAACCGGAAGGTATAAAATGAAAACTAAAAGTCTGCTTTCCCATCCTCTTCTTGTCTTACTCCTCAGAGGTAATTACTTTTGAACATTACTTCTTCCTCTTCCTCCTCCTCCTCCCCCCCCACCTCTTCCTCCTGCTCCTTCTCCTCTTCCCCCACCTCCCCCCACCCCGCTTTCTCCCCTTCTTCCTCCCCCTCCTCTTCCTCTTCCTTTTCTCTTCTGGCAGCTACTTCCATAATTCCAAATAATAGGCTCATACTTCCAATTCCTCACATATTAACTTTAAACTTTCTTTGTACTCTCTGCTATGGACAAAGCATAATTTAGTACTTCTGCACTTTCTCTCTCTCCTGTTCTCTCTCATTGCAAGGGAGGCTGGAAAAGTGGGGGAACATCATCAGTAGTATTTGAACCAATCGCGATCCATCCCCTGGGGCTGTCACTTTGCCGCCCCAAACCAAAGCTGGGTTCTGGCAGCAAGAAAGAAAGGAGGGATACGGACACTGGGGTGGCTAATACGTCAGCAACTAATGTTTGCCACAAGCAGATATATGACGTTTGCTTCCTTAATACCTGTTTTCCCCTTCTCCCATCAATCTGTCAAGTTCATCCAGATTTTCCTTTGGAGAAAGTCACACATTCTCAGCCCACGAGTGGACACTGATTGGCTTAAGCCAACAAATCCACCTTTGGCTGTGCATTAGAATCAACCAGGGAGCATTTTAAAATACCAATGCATGGGATCCACCTTCCAAGCCAATGAAATCAGAATGCTTTGAGGGAGCCAGGTTTGAAATCCAATAACTTAAGCCAATCAGCATACCCCACTGGCTCAGGATGGACACATACCCAACTCGAGCCAAGGAGATGCAACAAAATCCATGGGGCTCTGGAAGCAATCAGGAGTGGTGTTCTCTCCTCCCCTGGATGACGCGGTGTGAGGGTACAAAATCCAGAACCGCCCCCATCACTTTTACTATCCTGAGAAGATCCAGCCTAAGGAAGAACTCAACACTCAGAGGAGGACAAAGATGAAAGAATCACAGAGAGACAGAGCGTAAAGACATCCTGGGGGCCAGCGCGGTGGCACAGTGGTTAAGTGCACACGTTCCGCTTCCGCAGCCCAGGGTTCACAGGTTCGGATCCCGGGTGCGGACATGGCACTGCTTGGTAAAAGCCATGCTGTGGTAGGTGTCCCATGTATAAAGTAGAGGA